ATTTTGGTAATGATACATTTAATAAATCTGTTATTTAAAGAGGAACATTCTAAATGTCCTCAATACATTGTGAGACATTGCAAAGACACTGGGCTTCTGTGAAAGCAGCATCGTAAACCCAATGCTTAAACAGAATATTGGCGTACAGAGGATGTCACTAAGGTACGGTTTAGGATTTCTGTAGCTTTAGAGGGTCTTTGGACAGGTGGTCATTAGTGTTCGGGAGGAGTACCTGCCTTAAATGTTGATTGCTTCAATGATTCACAGATAGTTTAACTAAATGGTTCTACATTTGTTTTTAAAGTTAAACTTTTTGCAGCCTGTCTATTTAGGCATGTCTTTACCCTACATGCACGATAGTGCTGTATTTATTTATTGCTTTGTTAATAAAATAAACTCTTTTAAATGTAATTTAGAAGGGGAGACTCTCCTAAAGTATTGATAAGCTAATGTTATTAAGATCCCACCTTGAAGCTCGCATTTATCAGTAACACAAAAGGGCTAATCTAAGAAAGCCCAAATGTTGTCTGTGCAGTCCCAGTGGATGAGATGGTTAATTGATCTGGGGACTAGCACAATTAAAACATTAGCGGTTTCCTCCTTCTGAACCCTTGGGGATTGTTCCAAATTAGAGTCTGAGTTAACAGCTGCAAGTGTCTGATTACCCTACAGAACCAGTTAGTTTTTCATATGGAACTTTATTTGTCTTGTTAATTGCGATGGATGAAAGAGATCCTGCAGAGTAGCATTGATACTAATTTACTGTGTGTATAGTTCATTTTGGATGCAAGAAGAGAAAGGTGAATTCTCGACACAAGTCTTTAAAGATGGGCATTACATAAAATGCTCATTGAATGCACCTGGAGCTCTTCTAGAAGGTTATGTTCTTTGATGCCCTCATGAAACAGGTGTTTTTGAATGTCACACAATACAATTACCCATAAAGGGTTATTCCGAGCACCACGGCCACTGCAGGCATTTTAATTGGTCCTGGTGCCTGCAGTGGGTATGTGCAGTGTTTTGCTGCCGGAGGTGTATCTCCACCTGCAGCATCATCAATGGGGTGTCATTAGCCAACACCGAACAGGACTTTCAGGTTAATGTCAATACTCTGCAAAGAGCATTCTTTGGATGAAAGCGATCAGCTGACACTCTCAGCCAATGAATGAGTGGCAGGATTGGCACTAGACCTACTTGAGAACAGACCAAGTGCATGGCCAGGGTATTCCTACAATTTTAACCACTTACAGATGGATGTAGTTTTATGATACCTGAAGTAGTCCAATAAGAATGGTATTTGGGAATTTATCATTCACTCATTGGAGTTATCATTCAAATTTAATTGTGCATTTTTTTTTGCATATCACCAAATTTTAGGGAGAGGAGAGGAGAGGATCCGGCGGGCCCTGACCTGCAGCTCCACTAGGTACCTCTCGTGAGGTTGGAGCGTTACCATGGCAATACTCCATTCTTGCGAGAGTGAACTGGAGCTGCAGACTAGAATTCACTCCTAATAGGACCACAAGAAGTGTCCCCCTCCCAGGCAAAAGGTAAGAAGGGAGGAAGGATACATTTTTTTATTATTAGAAAAACCATATATAATATTTGCCTCAACCCCCCACACACACACAATACGTCCCAACATACACACTGCACCCCTCAAACACACACAATTGAACCACTCACACACATAAACACCCCCCCCACAAACATTGCAACCTTTCACACACACACACTAGGTCTCCCATACACATTCTGGGTTCACCACACACACGTTCACCTACAGTACATTATACACTACAGTCCGTATGCACACACTAACTACATCCCCTATAAAACACTGTGTCCCCTATACACACACACATACACACTCACTCTCTCTCTCTCTCACTAATCCCATTTATGGAGACACCAGAGACAAGTCACAAGCAAACACAGTGCACACATGTTTATAAATTTGCTTACGCTGCACAAAACAAATACATGCCATTTTTCTCATGCAAGAGATTAAACCAACATGCTCACTTTGAGAGGGGGCATGCTTATCATCGATTCTGACAAAACACCCCCTCTTGGTCCCGCTCCTTCTCAGTGGGCCGCTGTGATTCAAAAATGCCCAGGACGAATTTTTTTTCCCAAGTCCGGCCCTGCTGTCAGCCTAGGTGAGTGGTGGAAGGTAGGGAGGTTGCATGGAGAATCTTGCTTCAGACAATCCTTTTCAATGACTGTAGATATTACTGTGCTAGATGTGGTCCTGGTGGCTGAAATTGGTCAAACTGCTATTAATGTTTGTGGTATCCCAATCATCTTCAGTTGGGACACTGTAGCAAATTCTTCATTCTATCAAGCAAAGCTTAAAAGCTCTCCTCGACAGACAGTGGAATTGATATGCTGCCTCTGTGAAATCACTTAACTAATCATGGTGGCTCCTTTGGGATACAACAATTAGATAATTGATTTCCCACTACAGGCATTTATTCCACATTCTGCTGGGCAAAATAAAAAAAATTACAAAATGGTGAAGTACCATCCCTACGACCAACATGCAAGTACGATTTTCTTCTCCTATCTAGTAAAACATTTCAGAGGATCAACCTAATTTGTCAGCCCCCATCCCAGAGCCCAGGCGATAGTGCTAGGAAGTGGTGGGCAGAACGGATACTGTAACCCAACAGTTACAAGAAGGAAGAGTTTCAGAGGTCCTTCTTTGTAACTTTTGTCCATCGAGCAACTTGGTTTTTTCGAGATGGACGAAGTAATGGCCAAAAATTCAGGCGAATGCAAAACTCCACCAGCTTCCTACTGTTCGGCTCTGCAGAATATATTTACATTTTATCTAAAAATAGTTTAGTGTGAGTGGATGTATCATTCGTGTGAAGGTTTAAAAATACAGCTGACCTGAGTATTTTGGTGCCTCTATGACCCAGACAGGAATCTGACACTGTATGCACTTTGGGTGGACAGCCCTGTCTGCTCTCTGAGTGTGAGCGAAGAACTAGGCCGGTACTGCTCAGCATTTAAATAATTACAGGGTAAATGTACAGAAGGGGCAGCCCCGGGGGCAATTGTATTGGTTAAACCAGCAAAGGTCATTTCCATAAACTGGAGACAGACTGAAACAAATTACCGAGTAGGACTGAGAGAGCCCCGAGGTAGAAGATCAGAAAAACAAAAGCATGAATTTTCACAGTAATGAGCCGTAAGTATCTCTACGCACAAATACGTGTTTTTATTTTTTTCTTGTAAAGCAAGTTTTTAAAATTTGGGGCACTGCATGAAACCGTTTATATCAGGTTTGGCAGAGAGGTAGCGCCAGTTGTTGCTGAACTACATCTCAATGTTTAGGCTGGCAAAGCATCATGGGAACTGTGGCTAGAAAACAGTTAAAGATCTACCACTTGACCACCACTGGTGTACATCAACTTCATTAACAGAATGTTTTTATAACAATACAAAAAAACATGTCTTGTCTTTTTATTGCTTTCTATTTGAATTCATTATTTTTATTGTAGGTGTAACAATATGTTATTCGCTTATATTTAAATTACATTTGCTATAATATGTTTGTACGCATTGCTAGATGTTTATTTTAATTAAATTTGTTATCCCGTGGGTTATTTTTAATTTTAAGAAAAGCAAACAAAATCATAATTAAAGAAAAATAAAGAAGGAAAAAACAAACGAACATAGAAAGGTGCGCAGAGATGATTTAAGTTAGGTGGAGTTTCTTGCGTAATAGACAGCAGTTATCGCACAGAATGCCTAATGTCAATTTTGCTCAACTTTTGTCACAGCGCAGCTCTGCAGAAGCTGGAGCCGCGTCACTGGACCCCTAAGGAGCATCCAAGCCCGGTGTGAACCCTTTGCTAATCAGCTTGCCCCATTACCAGGGAACTGGCCCAGGGTACTTTTGGCTGTAGGGGTTACAGTGGGCTCTACAGTGGGGTAGTGGTTATGTCGCTTGCAGTAACCCTTTAAAGCCAGCGTAACCACACTGAAATTATAGGTTAGTTAGCCATTTCAGCTACTTTGACCTTTGGAATTCACTTAGAATTTTCACGTTCTCGAATAACTCTATTCGACCTTAAAACTCATGGTGCAACGAAATGACCCCTAAATAAGTGATTCCATATCCCAGTTTAGGCCCCAAATATTTCCTTTAGCTATTTCATTGTACTATTTCAGCAATAGCTGTGCTGCTTACTGTAGGGGCACGGCCTGCCGCAGCGCTGGAGTCCCTATTGAACGTGCTTTGATGTAGTTAAATAATTTAAATATATATTCTTCTATACCAACCGAGCAAAGAATGGGTCATTCAGCTCATTTTGGAAACAAATGCAATGTATATAACATGTCAAAAAGCATCAGGAACGCCTGCAATAAATGCTTAGATGTGATTACAAAGTGCCCATGGGTTCATTTTTTTTCTAAAGCATGATAAATGTGGTGTTAACTTATACTGACTGGGAAAAAAAAAATGATGAAAATGAATAAAATAGTTTTCTTAACTTTTCTGAGTGCAGTAAGGCATTGTCACCCTAGCCACACTTATAATGTTAGCTTGTTTCATTGGACTCCATATGGTACTGCTATGTTTTACAAGGTATCCAGCAATGAATGGCAAGGAGTGTTTGTAGAAAGGTGCCAGATGTGTTGAATTAATGTGTTTCCTACTCCCAGCCCACTCTGCAGGCCGAGGGGGGGAGGTGTACAAACTTTCTGAAACTCAGTCAGACCACCTATTGTCATAGAATAAAGGAGGGGAGATAAATAAAAACTATTGTTCATTTAATAAGCCACGAGGAGGGGGCAGGGAGCAGCATTTTCACTCATTCCAGGATCCAGCTGTGAGTCTGGCTGAGGCTTATGAGAGTGGGAGTCCGGAGAAAGTCCCTTTTTATCCGGCTACTGAAAGCGAAGGTGACAGAGTGCGGGACAAACAGAGCCAGAGGGAGGAGTGTGATCTGGAGGCTGGTCTTACTCAGCACAACTGAATCATTCACTCAGTCACTCACTAGAGCTATGCTGGCTGAAAACACTGCTTATTGGCTGATTCATAGCGAGGATACATTGTGGATACATTGACTGAAACTCTCAGGTTGGCTGATTGAGTAATACTCCAGGTCAGGTTTACTGACTGAGCGAGATTCTCAGTCTCTGCTCATTGAGTGAGGATCCCAGGGATTACTGACTGAGTGAGGATCCCAGGGATTACTGACTGAGTGAGGATCCCAGGATTACTGACTGAGTGAGGTTGCCAGGATTACTGACTGAGTGAGGTTGCCAGGATTACTGACTGAGTGAGGTTCCCAGGATTACTGACTGAGTGAGGCTCCCAGGATTACTGACTGAGTGAGGCTCCCAGGATTACTGACTGAGTGAGGATCCCAGGGATTACTGACAGAGTGAGGTTCCCAGGATTACTGACTGAGTGAGGTTGCCAGGGATTACTGACTGAGTGAGGCTCCCAGGGATTACTGACAGAGTGAGGTTCCCAGGATTACTGACTGAGTGAGGATCCCAGGATTACTGACTGAGTGAGGCTCCCAGGATTACTGACTGAGTGAGGCTCCCAGGATTACTGACTGAGTGAGGATCCCAGGCTGTGCTGTGTAAGGAAGACTTTGCCCCTGGAACAGAATCCAGAGAATTGAACAGGAACTGTGAAGGTAAGATACAAATTAACAGAATTCTGATTCCATTAACCCCCAGTTCTCAGTGTCTGACAGTCTGCTCCCCATGTTTACACCTGGCACCATCTGGATGTATCACATAGGATTTTATCACTGCTCCATCTATCAGTGCATGACGTATACTATGTATTTCACACATACCGTCTCACACCTTCTATATAGATCTTATACACCTGTTATGTGCTGTAATGTACTATTAGATGTTACCAGAATTTACAGTTACTTCACATACAATCAGTGTATATCCATGATTATATCTTTGTGCTATAGGTGTGTATATACAGATGTTACCAGATTCATGCAGAGGTCACCTTTTGTGGTGTAGACATATACTATGTAATCCAGGGTTATATATTTATATATATATATATATGCTGTGCGGGATATGTATATACTCCTATTGTCTTGTAGAATTGGTATACATATATTATCTGGTTTACATATATTATGTGTGTTTACCTGTGTAATACAGGTGTATTCAGGTGTTAACGTTTCTGACGTAGTTGTACAGAGATGTTACCTGTGTGATGTAGGTATTATATTGTCTTGTAGTATTGTTCTATACATATATTATCTGTGTGAGATCTGTACAGAGGTGTTACCTGTGTGATGTAGGTATATGCGCATATTGGAATGTAGTATTCGTGTATACATATATTAGCTATGTACAGAGATGTTACCTGTGTGATGTAGGTATATGCGCATATTGATTGTAGTATTGGTGTATACATATATTAGCTATGTACAGAGATGTTACCTGTGTGATGTAGGTATATGCGCATATTGGAATGTAGTATTCGTGTATACATATATTAGCTATGTACAGAGATGTTACCTGTGTGATGTAGGTATATGCGCATATTGATTGTAGTATTGGTGTATACATATATTAGCTATGTACAGAGATGTTACCTGTGTGATGTAGGTATATGCGCATATTGGAATGTAGTATTCGTGTATACATATATTAGCTATGTACAGTGATGTTACCTGTGTGATGTAGGAATATGCGCATATTGGCTTGTAGTATTGGTGTATACATATATTAGCTATGTACAGAGATGTTACCTGTGTGATTTAGTTGTAAGTAGATATGTGACAAGTGTGATGCAGGTGTCTAAAGAGATTTTTATTTATTTTTTCCTCCTGGGGATTGTAGGTGTGTAAAATGTTGCTTATGTTTTGTTAATGTTTACGTGTTTCCTGTGAGATACAGGCGTGTTGGAATGTTACCTGTGTTAGGTAGGTATAAACACACGTTACTTGTGTTTTCTATCTAAATACCTTTATTCCCTATGTATGATATGTGCAGTTGTTGCCTGTATTATATGCAGTGTATGTTTCTGTACATCTGATGTGTAGCTGTGTGTGTAATATACAAGGTACCTATGTCATACACAGTCAAGGTTATTCGATAAAGTTAGAATTTAAAGTGAATTTCAAATTTAAGGCCAGAGTAGCTGAGCTGGGAGCACAGCTGACTTGGAGATTTTTTTCAGTTTGGTCATTTTGGCCTTAAATTTGAAATTCACAATAAGTTCATTTTGAATTCTCACTTTAGTGAATAACTGTGAAAGTGCATCTGCCAGTGGGCTGTAAGGTGTCTGTGTGTGTGTGTGTGTTTTGCACTAGTGTAAAGCAGTTTGATGCAAATGTAACCAGTGCCGTATAGATACACACAGATGTCCCAGGTGGAATGTATGCAGATGTGTTATTTGTGTGTCTGTACTTTATTTGCATACAGACTGACCTGCGTAATGTGCTTGTTGCTATAAGATGTATGATGTGACATATATGGTGAAGGAGTATTCAGATGTGATGTAATATATTTGCATACATAACCAACCTGTGCATGGCTGGTGTATACATGTTACCTGTGTGGTGTCTGTGTACCTGTTTGATCCATGTCACATTGGCATGAAACTCTATTTCATCACCGATTTGAAGTGTTGGGAGGACATGTGTACAGCTGTTAGCTGTGTGATATAGGTGTGTACAGATTCCTCCTGTTTTCTATCCTATGATGATGCTGTAATTTTTTTTTTTTTTTACAATTCTACGCTCATGTTATCTGCATGTCTTATACCGGTTTAAATAGACACTGCCTCCGACATGGGATTGTAGATCAGCTGCCGTGCATTATTAGCTGATTATCAAACTGTTACTGCTTCCATATATCTGTATTTAGTTATACGCAGGTAGGTGATTGCAGGTCCAGTAATGACCTTCCTTTGCGATGACCGCTGCTGTTAAATTTCTATTCTAATCCTCTCCCAGGCAAAGCAAAGTTATTACGGGGATAACAGCAAAAAAAGGCGGCCTTCGCAAGTGCATTAGCTGAAATGTACAAAACGCCAACATAATCTGTGGTGATGTACAATTGGGTCAACCATAATGTAGCAGTCTAAATAAATTACTTCAAACAGGACCCTGGCAGGAACTTATTTCTGAGCTGTAGAAAATACTGCCCTTTTATAAGAAAGTAGGTCTTGGTTATAGATAACCTATCAGGGTTATTTACAAGAGAGAGAATTTGAGCGAATCAAAGTGAATTTCACGTTTAAGGCCAAAGTAGCTGCATTAGATACATTTTCTAAGTCCACTATGCTTCCATTTCAGCTATTTTTGTCTAAAAGTTGAATTAACTTTCCATTTTGTTTTGCAATCCTAACAATTCTCATTTTAGTAAATAAACCTGTACATCTTCTCTGTCCCTCTTTCAAATGGGGGTCTGGCAACCTGCATCTCCTTTAAGTAGGTCTATGTGATCATAAGGAATGGTGAAGAATCATGGGACATGTAGTCCACAACAGCTGCAGTACTCCAGATGGCAGTTTTACTCTCCTGGCATCTGTTGAGCAGATATACGCTGTGTGGAAATTACGCCTGCAGTCTATAGATAGTTGGTTCACAATGGTCATTAAAGTGTCACCTCCAGTAGTGAATGGGTAACCCAACTCCTGGACTGAGATCCTGTTTCTTTATTGCCAAAACTGGCTGACAAGGCCCTTCCAACATGGGAAGCAGGTTTCCCACACGCTAGCTGTTTCCAGTCCCATTCGGGGGAGCCCAGAGACGATCTATTGTTCACACGGTGTGTATGGACCGAGCATTGTCTGCAGTCTGGTTTCTGGAATTTGATCCAGTTGACCTTGAAGAGGGACATGAAATGGTTAACATGACATCATACAGCATGAATGCCGTGTGTTGCCAAGTGATAGTGGAGAGAACAAGGATGAGGGTGAATTTTGGATTTTTTTGGGTTAAGACATTGTCATGCTACCCAGTAGGTGCAGCCGGCAGGTAGTTAATAGATGGCTGTCAAGATGCTGTTCGCATAGAACTAGAATGTCAGGTTTTCGTTAATCACATAATCCAATTGTCTGAGTATCTGGAGTAATGTGCAGGGAGATCTTCAGCTGCAGTTGAACTTCAAGTCCCATGATGCTAAGGAAAGTTTAGAAAGCACCGTGGCTGGCTGAGCATCATCAGTGGGGTAGTCCTATGACAACCAGAGAGCAGTATGTATAGCACAACTAAACGCGAATGTATGACGTGTAAGAATGTCCTTTTGAACTTAAAATTCATTTTTTAGACACGACATATGGGTATCACCCTGTAGACCAGGCTTCCCCAAACTCCGACCCTCCAGATATTGCTGAACTACAACTCCCATGATTCTCAGCCTATCTATTTAATTCATAGAATCATGGTAGTTGTAGTTCAGCAATCTGGAGGGCTGGAGTTTGGGGAAGCCTGCTGTAGACCCTCTGAGTATTATTTGGTTCCCATAAATGATGAAAGCAGGTGACTGCTCTCTTACCCGCCTCATTTACAAAAATCCTAGGTATGATAATTTGGAGAGGACAGAGATGCCTCCAGGTAGGAACAGGTGAAATCATTTCCATAAGTAAAAAAGAAAACATATCTAAATAATTTGCAATTGATGCAACCATGTGATTCTGCTTCTTTTTACATTGTTTTTGAAATATTCAAATCAGTGATGGGAAAGAGCTTGTCTTATCTGCCTGCACATGTTTTGCAATATAAATACATGCAAAACCTGTTCTAAAAAATACTAATCATACTCCTGATAGTCCTCTACCTACTTGTGTACGTCAGGCCCTGTACACACAGCAAGACCTGGAGAGTACACATTAAAGGGGCTTTAAACTCTAGTTCAGTGGAGTATGATATACATTTTAACCTTTCTGTTATACACAGCGTAATAGCAGAACTTACCATTATACGCTCCCATGTTCCCCTGCTCATAAAACTGCAAGAAATGAGATGAGGGGCAAAAAACCAAATCAATTCATACCAGGCACCCACGCCCACTATGACAGGTACATAGTCGTACCCTTGGACATTAAGAATAAAACCCCCATACATACCCAATAATGCACGGACATAATATGTTGGTAAAACTCTGTCCACAGCTATTAATATAATATAAAATAAATTTTAATACAAAAGGTAATTGTGCAACAAACCCTATGACACAGTCTATACCTAACCCCCCCCCCACAACATTACAATGACCCCAATATTAACAACATTACACCATAACAATATAGCAACATAAATAATATCATGAAACATAAACGTGCAAACAATTTGCCTGAATGATCCAATGTAGGGGTATATACCGAGATAATACTACACCCCCAGGTTCTGAGCCACAGCCAGCTCGAAACCTACTATACCAACTTTTAAACCACATACCAACTTTTAAAACCCATATTTAATTCAATCCATAATAACAACCCATTCCACCCCCCAATTTACCTATCCAGCCCACCGCCGCTGTGACCAGACAGAGAATAACTTCAAACCTAACACAAAATCAGGGAGAGTGGGAGGGACAACTACAAGGTCTGTGAGCAAACAGAATGGGAACATTTTAAGATGGTTGCCATATATGTATCAGCCTGAACATCCCAGATAACTAGCCAATCCAAACACACTAACTCTGA